GTCCGCGACAAGGACGGCGCGCTCGCCGCGATGCTCGCTTGTGAGCTGGCGGCGAAGCTTAAGGCCGAGGGGAAGACGCTCCACCAGAAGCTCGACGACCTCTTCTGGCAGCACGGCCTCCACGCCGAGCGCACGATCAACATCCAGATGCCCGGCTCCGACGGCATGGAGCGGATGATGGAGGTGATGGGCCTCTTCCGCAGCCAGCCGCCGGCCGAACTCGGCAGCTACGGCGTCGCCCAGCTCCGTGACTACAAGACCGGCGTCAAGCTGCAGATGAACGGCGCCGCCCCGCCGGCGAAGCTCGAAGGCCCGACCGGCGACCTGGTGATGCTCGACCTCACCGAGGACGGCAACTACGTCGCCTGCCGCCCCAGCGGCACCGAGCCGAAGATCAAGTTCTACCTCTTCGCCTACACCCCCGCCGAACAGCTGCACGACCTGGAAGACGCGAAGGTTGAGATCGAACAGGCGCTCGACAAGATCGAAGCGGACCTGCGCAAGTTCGCCGGGGTTTAAGGGAAGAAAAGGATTTCACCACAAAGGACACAAAGGGCACGACGGCCAACTCGGCGGCCCGACGCTGTCCCAATCCTTATACGACTGAAAAAATTGATTTGGGTTCGTCTCACGAAAGATCCGTCGTGCTCGTCGTGTCCGTCNNGCACAGCAACTTGTTCTTTGCGGCTTAGCGCCTTGGCGTGAGTCTTGAAGGCATCCAACTCTGCGTCTCTGCGCGAGACTTCCCCACGTTGCTCCGTGGATCAGAGCAAGGCTAGAAACGTTACGGCCAAGTGAAGCACGCTCTAATAGCAGGCCGTCGTGCTCGTCGTGTCCGTCGTGGTTAAACCTTTCTCTTATTCGCAGTGATCGGCTCTTATTCGCAGTGATCGGTTAGTCGCTCTCGATCAAGCCGTTGCTCGTGCGAAGCCGATGAGAGTGTCGAAGGCGCGACGCTGCGCCGGCTTCTCTTTGGCTTGAGGGCTATCGATGAGCGTGACGGACATCGCCGCTTTCGGCGCCAGCACGTTGGCTTCGGCGGCGGGCGCCGCTAGCAACCAGATCGAACGGCAAGTGCAGAGCGCCTTCAGCGCCGTGCTCGAAGCGGCCGGTCGGCAGGGGTACGCCTCCGCGGCGCCGATCGCCGACGGCGCTCCGGTCGCCGACGCCGCGCAGCAGGCTTGGGACGACTGGTTCGGCACGCGGCCCGAGCGGTACGCCTCGCAGGCTTCGCCGGAGAAACTGCAGCAGGGGTTCGGCGCCATCATCGGCAAGGCGATGACCGAAGAGGGCTACGTCGATCCGAAGGGCTTCTTGGCGAAGCTGAACCGTGAAGAGCTCGCGACGCTGCAATCGGTCCACAGCCTCGCCGATCCGATCCATGTCGAGAGCCTCACCGAAGAGGGCGCGCTGAACCTGCTGTTGCCGCCGCCGGCGCAGGTGGACATCGACGCCGACGGCATCACCCACTCCGGCGCCGGGCGGGGGATCCGCTTCCCCAATAGCAACACGCCGCCCGAGGTCGTCGACGCCTGGGATTCGGCGACCGCCGGCATGTCGTGGGGCGAGCGCAGCCTGTTCGAGTTGAAGATGATGTTGCCCACGCTGCTGGCGAACATCGAAGTTGATGACAGCGGCCAATTCATCGGCCAGCGCGAGCCGGGCGACCCCGACTACCGCAACCCGATGGCCGAGTTGGGCTACTCTTACCGCGACACGGTCCAGTCGATGATCGACGCGCTCGACTTCCAGAAAGAGCAAATGCCCCGCGATCAGTACGAAGAACAAAGGGCCTTTTGGCGCCGCTTCGGCGAAGAGCTAGAAGCCACCGGCGCCGAGTAACTCCCACTTGAGCCGTCGGCGCTAACCGCGGGCAGCGCCACGCGCAAACTCGCCCCAACGTTGGGCGGTTAATTCAGCACTCCACCACCCGCAGCCGCATCACCACCGCCGCACCGATCACGCCGGCGGCGGCCACGATCCACCACACCACGGGCGGCAGCGGCGCGAAGATGAGCGTGATGCCGATCATCGCCGCCATCGTGCCCAGGGCCTTGGCCTTGACGCCGGGGCGGACGCCGCGGTGGAGGCGCCAGTGGCGGAGCGTCGGGCCGAACCACTTTGAGTCGAGCAGCTTCTGGTGCAGCCGGTCCGAGCTGCGGCAGAGCGAGTAGCTGCACAAGAGCAAGAAGCATGTGCAGGGCAGTCCGGGCAGGATCGCGCCGAGCACCGCCATAGTGAACCACACGGCCGCAAGCGTCAGGTGCATCGCGCGGCGCCAGCCGGTCGCTACTTCCGGAGCGCGGACGTAGCTTTCGCGGGCGGCGTCTTCGTCGGGCCAGCGCTGCACGAGTTCTACGGGAAGGGGAACGACGGTCGAGGCTTCCAGCAGCGCCGCGTCGGCGCTGTATCGCTGGGCTAGCCAGCTTAGCGACGCGCGTTGCTCGATGTGCCCTCGATTGCCCGTCCGGTACCGGACCGTCGCCTCATCGCGGACCGGATCGAGTGTCAAAGAGCGGACCGAGGCGTCGGCCAGCACGCGGCGGGCAATCTCCAGACCCACGACCGACTCTCGGTCGGCGACGGGGCCCGCCGGACGGAGCAGTGACGGTAACACAATCGGGCTCGCCATCGGTTGATTCCCATAAGCCGGGGGTGTCCGGCCCGATCGAGCGCGAACCCCCAACGTTACACCACGGCCGGTTGCCGATACGTCGCGGCGGGCTAAGTGGTGGGAAATCCCTGGCGAAACGAAGCCGCTGCCGGTCGGCTCGCTGCCGATTAGGCCGATGGCGCCGGTTTTTGCGAGGGATGCGGTCAAGCGGCGGCTCGCCGGCTGACGATAGTTGACTTTGTTGACCCATCTGGTAATATATCAGGGTCGTTCGCCGTTTGCTGGTCGAGATTCCGCCATGTCCGCCGCCTTGCACCTGTACGAGTCACCCCTCCCCGCCCCGCCGGCGCCGGGCGAGAAGCCCTCCGACGCCTTCCTGGCGGACCTCGCCGCCGAGAGCCAGCGGCTCGAGTCGGCCACGCCCGACGAGATCCTCGCCTGGGCCCACGAGCGCTACGCGCCGGGCCTGGCGATGGGGACGGCGTTCGGCCCCGAGGGGTGCCTCCTCCTGTCGCTGCTGCCGAAGCACGCGCCGACGACCTACGTCTTCAACCTCGACACCGGCTACCAGTTCCAGCAGACGCTCGACCTGAGGGACCGTATCGTGGAGAAGTACGGCCTTGAGATCGACATGCTCCAGCCGGAGCTGGCGGTCCCCGAGTACGAGGCGCTTCATGGGGGACCGCTCTATAAGACCGACCCCGACCGCTGCTGCCACGACCGCAAGATCAAGGTCCTGGAGCGGGCCGCCGTCGGACGCACCGCCTGGATGAGCGGCATCCGCCGCGACCAGTCGGCCGTCCGCGCCAAGCAGCCGATCGTCGCCTGGGACCGCAAGTTCCATCTGGTGAAGATCAGCCCCCTGGCGAACGCCACCAAGCAAGGCGTCTGGACGCGCCTGCTCAAAGAGGGCGTCCCCTACAACCCGCTGCACGACGAGGGCTACCCCAGCATCGGCTGCTGGCCCTGCACCCAAGCCGTCACTCCCGGCGCGAATGGCGCTGACGACGGCGACGAGCGCGCCGGCCGTTGGGCGGGCAAAGCCAAGACCGAGTGCGGGCTGCACACGGATGGAAGCGGGATTTGATGAATGCGGATTGGGGAATTCGGATTGCGGATTGAAGCGCAAGCCCCTGTTCCTTGTGAAGCGGCCAGAGCTCCACTTGCGTTTCAATCCGCAATCCCCAATCCGAAGTCCGCAATTCCCCCCATGCTTTCCGCCAAAACCGAATACGCCTGTCTTGCTCTGGTGCGGCTCGCGGCTGAGCACGCTTCGGGACAGCCCGTGCAAGGGCGCAGGCTGGCGGCCGAGGAGGGGATCCCCGAGGGGTTCCTCGTTCAGATCTTGCAAGAGCTGAAGCGGTTGGGGCTGGTCGTGAGCACACGAGGGGCCTGCGGCGGGTACCGGCTGGCGCGCGACCCCGACGAGCTGTCGCTCGGCGAAGTGCTCGACCTTGTTGACGGTCCGCCCTCGGGAGCGGGCTGCGTAGCGAAGCCCTCGCCGCTCGGCGAGGCGGTCGCCGAAGCGTTGATCGAGTCGGCCTCCGCCGAACGCCAGCGCCTGCGTGGCGTGACGCTCGCCGATGTCGCCGCCCAGGCGACAGCGCCGGGTGGGATGTACTACATCTAGCGCGAAGCGGTCTGTAGGAGGCGTCTCCGACGCCGATTACGCGCAGCATGCCGTCATCGCTTGAACCCGCAGAGGGTACGTAACCGGAACGCGTCAGCGCCCGGAGTTGCGCCACGTCTCGGTTGCTAAAACAATCAGCGGCGAGCCGGCGACGTGAGTCGTCGGAGTGAAGCGGGTATCCAATTCAACTCCGGGCGCTGACGCGCCGCGGCTCGTTGTCTTCCGCAGGCGCTGGTCGGTGCGGCGTGGTGCGGGTAATCGGGGTCGGGAGACCCCTCCTACATTTCTCTTATCGGCGCTTATCTGCGATCATCTGCGGCTACACTCCGCGGCGTCGCGGCGCCGGCGATCCAGGCGAGGCGGCCTAGCAGCCAGGCGTACGCAAGGTCGATGAGGACCTCCACCGGCAGGATCACGAACACCGACCAAGGCCCCATCGACGCGGCAAGGTCCTCGCCAATCCACATTGATCCGACCGCGAGCCCGAACGCCGAGGCGTAGAACGCCAGCCATGTCACCGGGGCGTAGCGCATCGTGCGTAGCACGCCCGGCGATAGGATTGCCCACATCGAGGTCTCGTTGAGTTGCGACAAGACGATCACGGGAAAAGCAAACATCGCTCCGACGGCCGACCAGCCGAACACCGAATCGAGCGGCCATGGCAAGCTGGTGGCGCTGGGGATGAGCTGGCCGGCGATCGAGCCCGGGATCGCCGCGACGATCATCGCAAAGACGACCGTCACCGCGGGCGGCGCCCATTCGCCGAAGTCGAAGACCGGCCAGTTGTAGACGCACCGCGCGCCGGTCGCGGCGCTGTCCATCACCGTCCAGCACACGGTGCAGGCGATCGTCATCCACATCGCGGTGACGAACACCGTCGTCCCGAGCAGCAGGATCATGCCGATCCAGCCGTACATCCCCCCCGAAGACGCTAGTGCGTCGAGCGCGGCGATCATCAACACAACGAACAAGAGTCCGAAGCTGAGGCCGAACCAAGCGAGCAGCATCTTCGACTGCGTGAAGGCCGTTGCGAGGCCGTCGAACAGCCCGATCCCCCAGCCGAAGGTCGAGGCCGACTCGTTGTCGATCTCGGCCTTGCCGCCCTCCGGCGAATCCTTCGCCAAGAGCGTGCGGTAACCGGCCGGCGCCCGCTCGACGAGCTCTTCGAAACGCGTCCGTAGCACGGTCGTATCGACTTCAGGGGCCGCGTCGACGTCGTAGGTCTCGGCCACGAGGGCGAACTTCGCCGCCGGCTTAGCCGTAACAGGAACGGGCGTCGCTGCGCCGCAGTCGGGGCACGATACGGTCTCGCCGACGCGGCTCGCCTCCGCCGAAAGGTGCGTCCCGCAGAGCCGACACGAGAACGAAACCGTCGGCGCCGCGACCCGGGCGAGATCGACGCCGTGCGGCTGCTCCCCTTCGTAGAGTTCGTAGCCCTCCTCGTCCATCGCCTTGGGCCGGAGCGACTTGGGCGGTTCGGGCGGCGGCGGGACGACCGTCAGCGTGTGGCAATCGGGGCACTTGGCTTTGCTGCCGACCAAGTCCGGCGGTGCATGCATCCGTGTCTGGCAGAGTCGGCAGTGGAAGCCGATCAGGTTGGCAAAGGGATCGATCTTCTGAGCGACCACCTTCGGCATCGGAACCAGCAGCGGCTCGCGACAACCGGGACACGGCGCGGTGCGTCCCACGAACCGCGCCGGCGCGGAGACCTTCTTTCCACAAGTGGGGCAAACGAAAGTGACGGCGGTGCTGTCCATCCGCGGTTGTGAAGCGACTTGAATGACGTAGGGGCGGGCGCAGGTTGACGCAGAAGCCAATTTGACGCAGAAGAGAGTACGGTAGTCCGTTAGTTTGTCAGTCCGATAGCGAAATTTTCTGCCCCTAGAACCGAAGCCCCCTACGGCCCTACCCACCTATACACCTCCGAAGGCCCCCCGTGCTCGAAGCGATGTGGCGGATGACGCTCGAACTGGCGCCCTGGATGCTCTTGGGAGCCGCCATCGCGGGGGCGATGTACGCCTTTCTGCCGCAGGGGCTCATGCAGCGGCTGCTGGGGGGCAAGGGCGCCGTCTGGAAGTCGGTCCTCGTCGGCATCCCGCTGCCGCTCTGCTCGTGCGCAGTGATCCCCGTCGGCCTTGGCCTCAAGCGCCAGGGCGCCACCAGCGGGGCCTCGGTCGCGTTCCTAATCGCCACGCCGCAGACCGGCGTCGATTCGGTCCTCGTAACAGCGGGCCTCTTGGGCTGGCCGCTGGCGCTTTTCAAGGTCGCCACGGCGCTGGTTACGGGCCTCGCCGGTGGTTGGCTCACCGACGCGGTGACGCCGAAGAAGTTCTCGCTTCCGGTCCTCGATAGCGGAGCGCCCGTCGCCAAGGACGCGTCCTTCATCGCGCGCTTGCGCTCCGGCGCCGCGCACGCGGACGACCTCGTGCGGTCGATCTGGAAGTGGCTCGCGCTCGGAGTGGTCCTCTCCGCTGCGATC